TATGAGTTTCTGCTCGAGAAGTAGATACATGGATTTTGGATTTCTTTCCTATTGAATCTCATATTAATATACCGGGGAGATGAGAGTGAATATGTTACTATTTACATTTCTCATTACAGGAGGAAAAAATCCAGAGGAGGTATATGTTATTAACTTATTCAAATGTGGTTTACCGAGTACTTAGGTATATACCGACTATACCCATTACCCATATCGATTCCAATTTATCGAACCACCAAACTGTTCATTCAAAAATTCAAATGAAATTCTACAATTGTATCTGGAATGTTCTTGAGGATGTACAAGAAGAGATAAATATAACTCTGGAGACTCGTTGATAGATAATCCGGTGAGGTATATTACAGCTATAGATAGTAACCAAAGATTGAGAATGAAATCGAGACAACTCCTACCAGTAACCACAATCCAAATAGAAGATAAGATACTATTTACCACCACCTCACTACAGATGCTCCGATCCAAAAATTCAAACTCCCCCATAGAAATGAAGATCAAAAGCAGAAAAGAAATCTTTCATTCTCCATCAATAAATCAATCCTGCAATTAATTCGCCTACTCCTAAACATTCATTCATCTCCCCATCTCTATCTAAATTTCCCCTATCCCACTTACTCACTAGCCGCACCAAAATTTACCACCAAACGAACCCCTCCCACGTCTCCATAACCCACTCACTAAGCGAGAAAAATATTCGTTATCCACTATTTCCTGTAGACATTTTATTTTTACGTTTGATTTATATAAATGAAATTGGGCATGAGTATATATCAAAAAGGCCTGATAGTTCAGTGGTAGAATTCTTGCTTTGGGTTATTGAATCTAAATTGTAAGAGGTCTCCGGTTCGATCCCGGATTAGGCCCTGAGATATTTCTTTTTGCTTTTCATGGGTGATCGTGAATGGGGGGTTGGAGAGGGTTTCTTTTTGTAGGAGAGGGAGGGGTAGAAAAGGAAGAGTAAGTAAATATGAGATGATGAATTGGGAGAGGGGAGTAGAATTTTTTATTCGAATTATATTGTTATTCGATCTATAAGTGATTTTTTATTGATACAGCAACATATATATATAACTCTGGACTTGAAGGCTCAATACATGATATCTTCGTTTTATAATCATGCCCCATGAAAACCATAACTCAATAATTCATACTCATCTAACATCTATCGATACACAATTAAATCTCCATTTATCCCCTCACCTCCCATATCCCAAATTCCATTCTCCTCTTTCCAAAAACTCCATTCCCACCACTTAAACACTCATCTTCATATCGATCTTCCCATGTGGTTTATATCCTCTAACCTCAAATTCCTCTGGCTTCCATCCATCTACAACTCCACTGCCTTGATCCTCCCTCAAAATTCCCAATTCAGGAAATTCTCTGGGTTCTCGCTCAAGTTGTACTTTTAATGCATCGACATGATCAACATAAACATGTGCATCCCCCATTGTGTGTGTAAATGTACCGGGTGTAAGATCGCATGCATGAGCGAGAATATGCGTTAGCAGAGCGTAGGAAGCGATGTTAAACGGGACACCAAGTCCCATATCGCAAGAACGTTGGTAGAGCTGGCAATGAAGAATGCCTTTAGGTTTCGATTCTGGGTTTGAGGGATTTGTATTCGGTTCCGAAGTTGAGGAAGTTGTAGAACTTTTCGGGAAGGAAACATAAAATTGCGCAAACATATGACAAGGTGGTAATGCCATCAACTTAATATCTGCCACATTCCATGCACTCAAGATTATTCTTCTATCCCATGGATTATTCTTGAGCTTCCATACAATTTCTGCTAATTGATCAACACCTTGTCCTGTATAATCTGTCTCGGCATCAATATATCTAGCTCCAAAATGTCGCCATTGAAATCCATAGACGGGACCTAAATCTCCTTCGGCACGGTGAGAAAGACCGATGGAGTCTAGATATGCGCGGGATCCATTTCCATCCCAAATTTTTATTCCGGCAGCGGAGAGGGGCAGAGAAGAAGTGGATCCGGATATGAACCAGAGGAGTTCAGTTAGGACGGCGCGAAGAAATACGCGTTTTGTCGTAAGGAGAGGAAGAATGGGGGCTCCTGTAGGGGATGTGAGGGAGAACTTTAAAGGTGCGGGGGCGAAGAGAGAGATGGTGCCAGTTCCTGTTCTATTTGGGGTTTTCGTCAGTTATGTATTCTTCTGGAGATTATAATGAATGTGAAAAGAAAGGATGAAAGTTACCGATCAGGACGATGTTCACCGGTTTCTAAAATTTCGCGGATTAAGTCTAGGTATTGATATTCTTCATGTTTCTTGGGAGTAGAAGTTGAACTTGGAGATGGTTTTGGTTCCGTAGATTCCTTTGTAGCAGGAATTTCGCGAGGAAAGGTAGAGAGTTCTTCTTCAAGTGATGGTGACATCTTGATTCTTGCTAAGTTGGAAGAATTCGATAATTGGTATGAAGAATTTGTATTGTTGTTCCAAAAAGTTCTGTGAAATTAAAGTGCAATGGAAAATGGTGGTGAGACGCGTTTGGACGCGTAAAGTGGTATTTCGGCGCTAGGTGTGATAATCATGCCTGAGGCTAGAAATATTCAATTTTATGGGCTGACATTGCCTGAGGAGATTACCATTTTCAAATTAAACAAGCCAAATGCATTGATCTCTGCAATTTGCAAGAACATAGCTTGCAAATCCGCAATCGTTGTCAATTCTCAATTCAACCCTTCCTAACAATCATTAAGTCTGCTCTACTATCGTCACATGATCCAGTTGCCCTCATCTAGATTAATGTCCAAGAGTCCAACCGCTAGTTTCGGCTTGATCAGTAATCATCCCGTGGACCAAAAAGTCAATTTAAAGCCCATTCATTCTAGTACAAACTCATGTCATTGTTATGCAAGCAGAAATGTGTGTTTGTAAAGTCACGGTGCGGAGCAACTTTGTTTCCGAATTACCAATATGTCGTTTGTATACACTCTAGAAGGGAGACAAGGAAATTCAAGTTGAATCCGAGCAGTCAGTTAGAATCCTGAGAAATTATATAAATACGATAGTTCGTTAGATTTCTTCTCAGATCAATCAATCATCTCATAATATTCATCTTCCATTTGCAGTCTATATATCCAGGCAACACAAAGACAGCTTCGCTGAGAATTTGGAATTCCAAACACAACATCTATCCGCATATCCATACAAAACGATGGCCCCCAAAACAGTTTTGATCACTGGCTGCAGTGAGGGTGGTATTGGAGATGCTCTCGCAAAATGTTTTCATCGCCAAGGTCTTCGAGTTTTCGCTACAGCTCGAAATCTTGCTAAAATCGAACATCTTAAGAAGTTAGGACTTGACACACTTTCACTGGATGTCACAGATTCAACTTCTATCAAGGAGGCTGTTGATTCGGTATCACTAAAAACTGGAGGGAAATTGGATTTTCTCGTTAACAATTCCGGTGCTGGTATGTTTGAAGAATTCATATGGCTAGACCAGCATCTCAAAATAAAGCTGACAAAATTTAGGTTACGCCATGCCACTGCTAGATTCCGAAGTATTAGTTGCTCAGAAGATGTTCGACATCAATGTGTTCGCTCTCGTAGCAGTAACACAGGCATTCTCACCACTTCTCATTTTCTCCAAAGGGACAGTTATTAACATCGGCTCAATCGCTGGCATCAGCCCTGGATATTGGCAAGGATATTACAATGCGAGTAAAGCAGCGGTAAACTTAATTACTGATCAACTCCGCCTTGAACTCGAACCTCTCGGTGTTAAAGCTATTCTTGTGATCACTGGTGGGGTGAAAACCAAATTTTTCGACAATCAGCCATCGGTCAAATTACCAGATAACTCGCCGTATGCCCCGGCGAGAGATATGGTTGAAACTGCTGCGGCAGGACATATCATATTAAGTACTGCAGTGGACGTCGACGTTTATGCCAATAAAGTAGTGAAGAACGCTTTGAAGAAGCATCCACAGACACATCAATTGGCTGGTGGAGATGCTTGGGCGGTTTGGTTCCTCTCGACCTTCTTTTGGCATACTATTTGGGTACGTATCAAATCTTCTGAGTGATTGATGATACTAACAAGCAATAGGATTTGTTGCTACCCTCACGATGGAGTATACCAGAATTGAAGAAGAAACTTTTGGCGACAAAGAGAGGGTAGTAGGTTGTAATAGTTGAGCTGCTGTTTTGTTTTAGGTGCTAGGCGTTGATCGGTAATCTAATGTAAATTTTGAGAATTAATATTGCTCTGTCCTCTTCCTTCTCACATATTTCTGTTCTTTGCCGCTATTTAAATCTCAATGTTTGGCATGAAGCATTATGAGTAGTCTCTATGTGTTACTCTTGCGGAATCAAAAATTAATATTGAATGAATGTTGAGCTGCGGGGTTATGATCTATACACAGAGTTTTATCTTATGAACTCCATTTATCATCTCTCAGTTGGCGAGAAATTGATACTGCAGTGTTGTTCGACATGGAGATTTTAGATCCTGCCAGAAATGTTTTTCTAGGATCTCTAGCCATGACTCACTGCTCTATCTGGGAAAGTTGTCAATCAGTGATGATCCAAAGCTAGGCCTCGCTGCCAGATTAGATCTCTGCGCCTGTTATTTTCGGTCATCAGATTGACTCAGGTGAATAATTACCTTAGTTGGCTACACTGAAATGATATGCAGAGCTTTCCTAGAATTTTTTGGAGAGTATACCTTCGGACTTTTGAGAGACTGTATTTCAGAGTGAGATGTCCCGATCATTTGAGATATTCACCACGAGAACTTGTTGTTGATGATTTATGGGATTCGCTTAGTCTAATACCGCCAATTGATAGTTCAAAAAGCTTGTAGGTGATGTTTCCTGTTTCTATTTCCTTAGAGAGTACGTCTATGAACTTTGACGCAGTTTGACTAAAATACCTTTTAATCTCGTCGAGAGAAACCCCTCAAAGTCCCAAGAGCTGTGTGCTCATCTGATTGCCGGCTGGAGAATAGTCCTTTTAACACCTTCCAAAGGAGCGGACTTCAACATTGTCTTCAACTTTAATGCCAGCCCGTATTCTCCCCAGCCTCAAGATCTTTGCCCCAGCTCCAATGCGTACATTATCCTCAATTATAGCACCTGTTTCAATGATTACAAATTTTCCAATTTCAACATTCCTTCCAATTATGACATTTTTTTCAATTGATACATTTGCGCCAATGCGTACGTTCCAGCCAATGCTCACGCCGCATTCCACGTTTGTATAATTGTTGATCTCTGTTTCGCCAGCGATTTGGACATTTTCGTATACATGTACACCAATTCCAATCACTACACCAGGACCAATGTAAACATCGTTGTCAATTCTGCACCGGGGTTTTAGGATGATCATTTTATCACTGGCGTTGAGATGAACCATAGAGCCAATTATACCAGGTTCGCAGATAATAATACCTGATGCGCCGCTAATCTTAATACTACAAGGTGAGCTGTCAGTAGATCCTTCGTTTCGGATATTGACTATACTTTACTTTGATGTATCGAACCCATAGCAGTGTGCATCTACCGCCACGGTATGATGCCTAGTGAATATTGTGTTGGTGGCGGCCAGCCCCGCTTCAGCTTTGCTGCTATAAATTTGTAAATTTACGTATCCATAAGCATCAGCGCTGGTAGAATAGACATTTCGGCCTGTGAAATTAGCCATAGCTTCCCGCTTATGCCTGCCAAAATCGATATTTGGTGGTAAATATGCCATTGTTGATTTTCCTATTGATACGAATACTATTTTTTGTTTTTCTATGAATGATTAAAGAGTACACATAGATTATCCACAACTTTAATACCAGTGGATTATCATTTTGGGAAACAGAGATCGGGTTATTGATTTATAGTTCGTAATGTTCACTCATTCAAGAAGCCACAACCGAAACTTCTCAATTGTTATGATTTGTAGACGTTTCAAGAAACCACAAGTGCAGGCTTGCGACTAGTTTGAAATGCAGTTCATCAGAAAGATACTTTTCTTTTTCATTCGATGAGATCATTCACATGTTTGGAGATACTTTCTTCTCTTTGCGTATTAAACCGCTGTAAAGCACTGAGGACTTTGATTTAGTCTCCCGACCTGGATTGTTGGGCACTATGCGCAATGAGCAGGCGCTTTCATACTAGTCGTATTTACACGTTAGTCAACCCAAGTAACGAAGGTTTAATTCAATCATAGTCGAAAGTTTGAGCTTTGCAGCCATCTTAGGAAACCACGAGCGGAAGCTTTAGTGATGCATGTAATCAAGCCACTCCAGGAAACCAAGATTAGAACTCCACTTTTATTAGGTGATTTATGAATTTGTACCACTTTGAAGTTGTAAATCACAGAAAGTAGACTATAAGTTTGAACGTCTACGCAAGTTTATCAATGTATGTCTAGCTATAGAATAACAAGACTGGAAAGTATAGCAGCAAGGACGTTTCCATGCCTGCTACACTAATGTGCACCATGAACATCAGGAATATGCTTCTTGACTACTTCACCTTCTTCTAAGGTGGCCCCTCTACCTATCTGTACTCCTCTAAGCACATCAGCATCTTTGGTTATGCAAGTTCTATCTCCAATTCGTGCATCTTGCCGAACTGTAGCGCATTCCTTGATCAAAACTTTTCGACAGAGCTTAGCTCCATTGAGAACCCACGAATCTTTGCTGATTCTTGTTCTATCTCCGATGTGTACTTCACTCTGTATGACTGCGCCAGTTTCGATGGAGACCCCCGCTCCAATAACACAATTTGCTCCAATCTTCACCCCTTCACCAATGTGAACGCATCGTCCAATCTTTGCATGAGATCAAATCTTAGTGTTTCGCAAGATTCTCGTTTTCTCCTCAATTTTTGTGTCATGGTCGAGTTCTACAATGTGATGAAGGTAGACATTTGCTTTGAGATGTGTTTTAGATCCAAGCACGCATCCAGCACGGACTTTAATAGGTCTAACTTTACCGTCGACAGCACTGCGTGAGTTGAGGGTGATATGATCACCAACTCTTGCTCTCACAGAAATGTAGTTGGGCAGATTCAAGGTCGACTTACATCTATATGAAAAATTAGCAAAGTAGAACTGCTATCTAAGCGGATCATGGAGACCCACTCTTCAGCTGCCGTGATTGAAGCGTCTTCTCTTGGAATTTCCGTCATGTTTGGTCAAACTGGTTCTTCGAAATTCGACACAATCATTGTAAGTGTGCAAAGTATTGTTCTCCAGTCTCAATATTTTCGAGTAGTAAGGAACATAAGCAAAAAGGAAAGAAGAGGAAAGGAAGGGAATTCCTCGAACCCTATGAGGTCCCATTTAGCTCCTATTTTTGATTCATCTCCTGAGTTGGCAGTCATTTTAGACTCATTATTCTCAACTCATATACACAAATCCTATTGATAAGTGTTTTTGGAGTCATACTTATCACACCATAAACGGTACGTGTCTGAGCGGTGTAGTAATAGTATTGAATGTCAATCTGTGGAAGGGATTGAATGACACGATATCAAGTGGGATTTGTTTTGTAAAATCCTTCTCATGTTCAAGATAGGATAATCTTTCTTCGGATCATGGTTCATGAAGAAAAGGCAAACCCCGAGATTTGTAAAACCCCATGGTTTCACTCAAAAGGTATGATAATTCATCGCCGAATTCTACTCGAGTGTTTGAAGAGTAATGATGAGTAAGAGGTTGGATAGAAATTTTGCACCACTACACCCAGGAGTCATCCAACTGGAGATCGAGAAAGGAACAACTCAGCATTAAATAGATAGGTATTAAATTGTCGCAAGTGTTATATGGGAATGTGATTCCGGAGTTTCCAAATTCTAAATGCTAAATGATAGTCCAAACAATGAATCCTGATATGGCGTGATTTTACGATGTTATATTCTCAGACTTACAGTTCTTAAGGGATTTTATATTCAAAGCTAGATTCGACATACTAATTCTTACACACGCATGGTGCAAAAATGCGTTCTTGTTCACTTCTATACACAGTTATTGATATTTACCGTCAAAATGACCAGGTTATGAGCACTTGTTTCAGTGCTTCACCACTATCACTATACTCAAGAACCCTTTGAAACGTCAAGTTCTTCGGGTCTTTAATACAAATATCAAAAATATATCAGAAATTTGCAGACAACATGCCGAGCTTGAAGACCGCGCCAAAGATCCGCATCATATTTCGAGGCCACTTGTATGACTGCCTATGATCTTAGAGCATCAAGTGCCAGAAGCAAAAGAACAATACAGTCTGGGAACTTGCTCTTGGTTCAAGTGAGCACAAGGATCTTCAATATATCTAGTGATATGTGCAGACTAAGTGCAACTATATAAGGAAGCCCGAAAACATCAACGATATATAACCACCGAGGTAACAATATTACATGCGTAGAGTTTTACCTGACTTCAAATAATCCTTCACGCCCCTCACAATCCAAAAGGATATTTCGCCCAGATGGAAAAAGTATCGAAGCCGAAGAAAATTACTTTGGCAACATAGCTTCGTTGTCAAGCATCCTGATAATCTTGGCAGGCACACCACCAACTAGACAATCTGTACACGCATCAATATCCAAGCGAAACGATTTCCCAACCCGATCTATCGCACGTGCTTGAAGTGCGCATCATAAGTGAAAAGCTGAAAGACCGGAATGAGGAAGGCACAGTACTTACTTGCTTCAACATCCTTGACCACGACAGCCCCAGCTGCAACCGTCGACCCATTCCCAATAGTAACCCCTGCAACTATAACTGCTCTCCCCCCAATCCAGCAATCGTCGCCAATAACTATTGGTTTTGCATAAGACCCCATTTGACTTTGTTTTCTCGACACAGCGTCAAGTTCATGCGTATCGGTACATATACAGACACCGGGTCCAATGAGAACACGGTCGCCAATTTGAACTGGTGCGCTATCAAAAATCGAGACACTGCAATACCGTACTTAGTAGAATCTTGGTCAGATAGAAGTATGTGACATACTCCCTGTTGATATAGACATCTTGACCAATAAACGTGTTGCAGCCCCAGGTGCAGAATAATGGAGCTTCGATATTGGTATCCAGACCAAGTTTGCCAAACAAGGTCTTGGCTACGGCCATTCGACGAATTTTGAGGTCGTCAAGAGTATCTTCATCATTTATGGAGCTGTCGTTGAATTTAAGTAAATGCCGACGTACGTTCAACTTGAATTTGGTCATACAATCGGCTAGACATGCCTTGAAACTGAACGTCACAAAAATCAGTGATCACATCAATGTATTGTTGAGTCAAGATGTACTGACTTCATTCCTGAAATCATCTTCTTGAACTCATCACACATAGGCTTCGGAATGTCGGCACTTTCGACCATTTTCATCAAGTCTTGGTTAAATCTTACGGCCGCCATGATGCTGTTCCCTTTTGAAGCCAAGTAGAAAAACAAAAGACATTTCCGAGATTTATGAAGGCACTGCAATGAAATCAAAGTGAATCAATCACATTCATGTACTATACCTCAAATTTCTATGGCGCGACAATTCCAATCTGAAAGGTTGAAAATCCGTCTATCTACCATTCAGATCTCAAGTAGGCAAGAAGAATAGTGTTGTGAACCAATGTCGGAATACCAATTGGGTCGTTCGTAGGATATTGAAAAGGCTGAGAGAGTACAGCCACTCGGCGCAGAATATGTCGATCCCGTTTCGTAAATGTAGATGGAATTTAATGGAATCGTGAATCATGAAATTGGGAAATTCTCTCGTACCACTCTTTGGAAATAGAAGTATACTTGAGTGTGACCAACCTTTTGCGTGTGAGAAACCCAAAATAATGGAAAAAAGAAATCATCACAATTCGAAATGGAACTGATATTTTGCTGAGCCAATACCAATAGAGATGGATGTCTCCTAAACGCCATGCTCCAATTTTTGAAAGTAACTATTCGTCACAATTCTTTTTCTTTCTTCGACTTCTCGGGTCGCTCTAACAAATGTTCCCGACCTGTGACAGGTGCGTTACCTACGGCAGGTTTACCGCCGAAGGTCTCGAAGCCTTTATGGAATACAAATTCAACTGCTTCCTCGACAGGCTTGTCAAACAGGAAAGGTAAAGCGGGTACAGCAGCCAGTCCCAGACCTATGGGGCCCCATGTTCTAACCCTTACATTCTTGACGTTCTTCATATATTTACCGGAATACCGCACAATTGAATGAATGGTAAAGGCGGGTAGACCTGGTCGCGTTAGTGATGGATTCTTGGTGGAGCTCGTCCAACATCAATATCGGCATGAATGCAAAAAAGAAAAATCAATGCACCTACCCATAGAAGCGATTCCTTGAAATAGGGCACGCTGTGCCATTACTGTCCTATAATCATCCAGTGGCGCAACTTGACGAGGTTTCGATGAAACCATGTTCTCATTGGCGACTATCTTAAGATCCGTCTTTGCATCATTGTATCGATCGTGCATTGCTTCTCGCGGAAGTTCCGGATGTAAAACCTCCTGGTTCCTACAGTATGCCTTGTATCCCTCATGTGTGACATCGCCAATGAGATAGGCCCATGAAACGCCATAAGCTGCCCGAACCCAGTTTGGATGAGCTACCGGTCGAAAAGACTCCCCAATATCTGATGTATAAGCTACGTATCGTTGCGCAGACAATAGGGCTATCAGAAATCTTAGCCAAAATTTTGGAACTGCATGCCGTATGAAAAAACTGACCTGTTCGTATGCGAGTAGCATATGCCGCGTATCTAATGTTGCTTTCGGTGGTCTGAGGAGCACTGTGGCATCACAATTAGCATTTTGTGAGTAAAAATAGTGCTTGACGAGTCTATGTGAATCTCGAGTGCAAGAGACTAGCTAAAACAAGAGTCGCGTGGATACATACTATCCATCATAAAGCTCATCATAGAAGTTATCCTCCTTATCTGCTTTGTCTACGATTCTTTGCATTCCATCAGGAAGCTTTTCCACGTCCGGTAGACCAGTCGGGGGTGGACCTCGAGAGTTATTGTTATCCTTTCCAGCCATTTTTCGTTTCTATACTGAGGAGATTGAAGTAGAAAACAAGTGAACAGTAAATAGTGTATCAAGTAGCTTCGAAAATCTGACTAGCTGTTTTAATTGTGAAAAAGGATACGTTGTATGTTTGATAGATTCAAAGACTGGTGTCTTTTGTCGCATTCCTTTTCTATGACCTCGGACGGAAGAACTCGTCAAGTATTAACCGGTGTTCTCGTCCGGTCCTGGCATGGGGAAATGACGATACCCACGAGTGGGGGGTTGATTGTTCCTGGTACTCCTCTAATTCCCAGACGCTAAAAGGTGGAGTGGAAAGCTGGAAGCGGAGCCCTTTTGCTTGCCTCCTTGCTTTGTTCTGTCCCTCAACGCGGGACGGGAAGACAATCGGCATCTCGGAATCTTTCGGTGCGCGCTTGGCGCTTAATTCGCCTAGCTTGGAAATTTGTATGGCTCCAATTCAATCAAACTGTACCGGATCAATACTATCACGAACCTTCACTCCGTCACCGCAACCATATTCGAACAATTATCGATTTAGTCAAATCTTCGAACTCGTCAAAATGGTTTCTTACTACCAAATCGCCGGAAAGCAAGTTGGCTCCCACTACGTAGGTGGCCTATTCCGAAGTCCTCTACTCAAAATCTTTGATTTTTCCTTCATGCAATTGAACAGGCTACGCAGTGAGCAGAAGTCAAGGAGTATTACTAACAGGAACCGCGATACTAGTTAGCTATGGCAGTTCTCGGTTCGATGGCTGGACTCGTCACTTTGTCCACTCGTGGTGGATCTGCTGCAAAGAAGGAGTCAACTCCACCAATTAACGCCAAAAGTCCAGATGAGGAGAAATACATTAAGTAGGTTCAATGAGGGGATCTTTTGATTCCACAGGCATATATCATTTGCATGCTCTAACATCTACTAGGGACTTCATGGCAAGCATCGAGGGAAGCAAGAATGGAAACAACGCAGACTTGACCAAGAAGGATGCAGGAAGATAAAGGATATATCATGAATTGAAAATGAGCGGCTGAACCTTTTTGCCAATCGACTTCGCAGGTTCGGGTGTAAATATAGAATGCGGTCAGATCCCCATTAAATCGAGCAGACATGCAGATACCATGTTAAGATCTGAATTCCACGTTCTTCCTTATATTCTCCACCCCCATCTTCATACCAATTACCAGTAGATGAGTTTCAAGAGGAGTCGACATGTACTTGCATTGATTGGAAGGAAGCATCGCCGTTGTGATTAAAGAGACTACATTCCCGCAGCCATCAATAGACGTTGTTCGCAGTATCATGATTTACTGCTTTGCTTTTCGATTCATTTCACGGTTAGGGCCTGCTCAATTTTTGTCTATCATCAGCTTCTGAAGGTATTTTATAAAAGTCGCTTGTTTGTAGATTCCGATATCCATTAAATCCATATTTCTTTTCCGATTTCCTTGCTCGATTCACAGAGTTTGATTCACAGAGCGATGGGAAATACGAAAATGATACTCCTCACCCTACCCAATTCCTCCGCTTAACTTTTACTGTACTTATAACGTTTTTCTCAATAAAAATCTACCAAGTAATTTCCTGTGCTTTACAAACTTCAAAGGCCACTCTGGATTGATATAAGACCCTGTCCAACCTTGCCCGTCTAGTGGCCAAGCACTATGCAGCCTCAGCAATGAAATGATGTCAAACAGCAATGTCAAAAGCACGGTCAATTATCTTCAACCCACCACTCACCTTTATTAAGCAGGATTAACAAGGTTAATTTGACGTTTCAATACAAAGTTCGGTCTGTTGGCCGCACACGCAATGTGAGTTTTTGGGATTTACCAATTATACAACGATACTAGAGATTTGTGGATATGAATTCCAGACAACACTGTTGACATACATTCCCTGTGCTAACATATGTTTTCTCTGTCGATGTGTAAGTTCTCTGTTGATGTACATGCTCTCTGTTAATGTACATGTTCTGGATAGAATGTTGGGAACTACATGGACTCTCATGGCTTATCCTGAAGTAGATCTGTGTTTGTATAAAAGGTCTGCGATTCACCACCGAAGTTTAGATCAACATCAAGCTATCAATCAACATTTCACTTTACTCTCAACTTCAACTTCTATAACATAAACTATTTTTTTTATTTTTAAAAAAAGCATATTTAGCCCGGACGTGTCTCCTTTAGTATCTCCTTTGTTTCACCATATTCCTACAACATGCCACCATATGAATTTAACCCGCGTATCACATCAGGTAGACCAAATCATCCTTGTAACTATCTACCGGCGAAGAAGATTATCTTTAAATATAATGGACAACCTCCGGATCGAGATTTATCAGTATGTCACCCCCAATTCTCATACATTCTCCCCAAGTGAGAACAAGCATATGGATGGGTTTCTTCCAATTCCAACACGCAAGACAGAACTAATCAAACCCCACAGAAATACGGTCGCGGCTCTGAGGCTAAAGACAAATATGCATTGGCCCGCTATGACTATATGGAAAGACTTTTATTCAATGATAGTGAAAAAGGGCAAGCTGAGAGACAGGCACAGGAGGATGAGAGAGTGAGAAAGGAAAAGGAGGCAAAGCAGAAACGGAAAGACGACGAGAAGAGCAGAAAGGAGCAGGGTAAGAGGCTCAAAAATTATGGAGAGCCGAGCGGAGGACATAAAGAGGAGCGCCATGGTTTGCTGGGTAGTTCAAGGAGACACTAGACATTGTGAGGCATTTTCGTTGAACGGAGTCTGATAAAAACCCGAGTTTTTTATGCTGTTGAGTCCTGGCTGGATCAGGCTGGAGTTAAGGTCGAATTGAAGGACATAGCAGGAATTTATGTGGACTCAAATATCATTCATTGTTTGACAGAATATATATATATATGTGTGTGTGAGTGTGTGTGAAAGGACGTTTTCATTGGGGCACTTGGGTTTTATCAGACACTCCGTTTCCGCCGCTAGCTGTCCATTTTCACAAAATCAACAAGTATTGTTATCTTGTTTCCCAACTACGACTTGGATATTCGCACTTCGAGAAACTTCTGTCGAATCTTTACCCAGAAATTGTTTAACACTGTCCAAGAATTAGTCCACATACTCTTTGGCATAACAGATTTCAGTGTGACAAGCGGTAGTTACGCATGTCGTCTGCTAAGATCACTGATACGTGGCCAGGTAGCAATAGAAGATTTGTCGATACATCCAATACCACTGAGCGAGGGGACACTGGGCATGATTATTCCCGGGACCAGAGGTTATGAAAATGCAAGAACCATCATCCCGCAATATTCATCATGGAGCGGGAGAACTATCCCGTGAAAGTGTCTGGTTGTAAAGTTTCAGTAAAATCTTCGATTGCGCAGGAAATTTGGCTGTAACCAAGCATGTATTCACCCATTGACCAATCCCTAACATGCTTTTGGAACCCTGGCACATAACACCAAAAGAACTGAAAGTCGTGAAGTTTTCCGCCAAGAGGAACACTGAAAATCATTTCTCGTGTGGCAACAACTATAGCAGCATGTGAGGCAGCGGTTCCTTAGGGAAAATATCCCAATTTGACCCAAGTATTTTATCGGGAAGTTCATGAGCTACTTTGACTGGTAATCCGATGGGGGTCGTCTTCCTCCCATATCTTTAAATAAATTCGTTGCTTTGACAGAAATATCTGATGACACCTTCACGAAAGCCCTACTTGCTTCTTGTAGACTTGGTTGAAGATTTTCCCACTCTTCTCTAACTTTTGGCTATGTGTTACAAGCAGACGAAAGCCCAAAGAATGCGTTTATGATGTTAAACGCCTAGATACCATCTACCAGCCAATAATGGGTGTGCATCACTATCTCGGAGCTGTTTTGAAAGTAATATAAATAGTGATGTTTGAGTCAATATTTGATCAATATTTGAATGGTGAAATTTAAAAGATCTGGTCGTAGAAATGGAAAATGAAACTATCAGATATACCGTCGAGTATTTGAGGGTTTAGTTATATTAATCCATCACCACGACATTAGCTACTCGCTTTCCATTTGGAACTGCTGCGAAGACCATAATCAAGCGTTACCTGTCCTTGAAAGACCTGTGAATATAAACATGGTCTGGCTGATGTCAGTGAAGGTTTTCATGAGCTCATTTAGTATGCCCCATATGCATATCAACTGTCGACATTTGGACCCGACCACATGAAATATATTATCCTTCACAATATATGGAAGCTGCCTTTGGGAGCTCATCATTGAAGCTGTTTTGGCATTCAAAAATGACCACGGAGCGAAATCGTAACTTGCTAAGCCGTTGTTCCGAAACAGAAGAAAGAAGTTAGGGTTCTGCTAATATCGTACTTTCGATCTGAATCGGAGACATGTTTTCAGTTCAAGTTGAAATAGGGATCAAAGAAATAGAAAATCCACGTGTGAATGGCAAGGTTGACGAAAACCAAAGAGCCTTACACACGTATGGTCACAAGTTAGATTGTCAAGGAAATTTTCATCTGCCTTATTAGAGAAACAAAGTTAGGGGATTACAAACATCAAAAGAATAACGATTGCTTAGTGAGTTTGAAGGGCAGACATACATTATGACGTCCTTGGGCAAGCCTTATGATTACAAATAGTAACATTTAGACAATACTATTCGTGACCGCAGATTTGACCTTGACTATTTCATGAATCGAAACTTACAAAACGGCTCTCGATATATTAATGCGGTTGGAGTTTGAACAATTTGCAATCTTGATAAAAAACCAAATCCAAGCCCCAGTATTGCTTTGCCTATCCTATCAATGCCACATTTAATATGTATTCAATATCACTGCGATACATAAAATCAATTGGTGATTGTCCTCCCTAAAAATGATAGATTTAAAGTTTAAAGTTATTCACGGCCGTACTGAACATGTTCAATCAACATCTAACCTACAACCTAACCGTAGGCCAGAAGAACTAGCCCCCTCTAGCTTTGCACCATGAACTTTTGTTGCAGCATATATAAATCTTGAAGATTAATACTCCAAACCCTTTGAAAGTATCACTCTGCAAACGTTATACAACGACGGCAAATCCATGCAAATGGATAATAAACTTTACACAACATTTCACAGCCAGCAACTAGTATAAGAGTTGCTAAGCAACATGCCTTACCTTTCAAGCATCAGCGATACAATGTGGATGTGCTGTTATAACGCATCGAGGGATAATCAAGGGGTGAGTTTATTCCCAAGAATAATACAAGAAGTTAATAATGTGCTAACTAGATTCAAGTGCGGCGAACGTAACAAGATGAAGTTGGACAATTGTAGCAAATGCTCTCACGAAAAATGCGCTAAATGCAGGGTAACGCGATTACAGATGTTGATGGAGGACTTCATAGACACCGATAAAGTAAAGGAGGCGTTGGAGTCGCAACTAAAGGAAACCCCAACAGTAAGATCTATCGAAAAAGTAAATGATATATAGGGGCAGTGCTGGTCGACAGATATTATGCGAGATTGGATTGGGTGAGGTTTCCTGCAAGATCAAAGGCATTCGAAATCTTAGGTTATATTCTCAAAGAATAGAGAGGCAGGCACAGTATGGAATCACAACGAGAACTAGTCGCATTTAATCGGTCGAAAGATGGAGATAATATTTAAGGGCAGTCAGTGCGATATACTGAGGGAAATCTGTGTCTGCACTTGCAGATAGATCTATGGCATGAATGCGATTTTGTCTCTAGCGTTTCAAGACTACCATCTGACATCGAATTCGGGGTGAATGTAGGATAAGTACAGAATGGCTTGAGTGCGATAACAAATGTTCTGAGGTTAATTGGAAATTCACAAAGTTTGATCGATATATTGCTGTGTAACAACATATCGTCATTGGTATATGAGGACATAATAGATGCCTCAAAAAAATAGAGGGTGGAATCAGGATGCATTAGCATGGGAGGTTTGTGCAGCGGCGTACCTCGAATGAGTGCATGTTTCAATATTCCTGATAAAGTAACATAATTCATCACTCTCCAGCACTGCATATATGTCGCTGGTAGTCTCTGTGCTGTGTTTTGTTTGAAATTTGTACTATCTCGTTTGAACAATCGCTCACGAGACTTCTGTTACATCAGCGCGACATATACGCCCTGACATGCTTTATTTGTTCATAGTTCCATGATATCCTAACGCCATAACGTACATTCGTCGCAAGCCAAATACCTCAGAAAGCTGGAATGGCTCGTTCTAGAGGATCCCTTGCTGTCTCCCAAGCCAACCAATCCGACCTTGTAGTACTGCAGTGCCATTAGCATTTTACCCCGAGTCATTTGTACAGACAACTTACGGTAATAATCCCATTCCGTTAACCTTCCATATTCCTAGCGCCAAAGCTATTACTTGACATGCAACATATGCCAATTTAACTACACCCAATTTTCCTCTTGTTCCTTCACTCTCAAAACGTTCAAATGCTTGATTTGTAGCCATAAGCCCCATCAGGGGATTTTTGAATGCCATAACCACCATCATGATGGAAAATATTTGAAGAGAGTTTCCTGACATGTACATCATAATCGCCGTCATTGGAAGTTGTTTGACAGGGGCCAAAGCCACTTCCCATGCTTTCTTAAGCTTCAGCGTATCCATTTCAGCGGGAGTCGGAGGTTGTCGTGGGGTTTTGGTGGTTTGTTTCTGGAGAACACGATTTTCAGCAGACGGTCAATAGTATATGGGCTGGAAATAACATACTCGGTTTGAAGAAGAGGAAGCTGTGTATCCTGGAGGATCTGGGATACCTGCAGATTTTGGCTTCGATAATGGTGGAGTATTAAGATCTACAACCCATTGAGGGGGAGGGGGAGGTGGTGAAATCGCGAGCTCCGCCATTTTGATAGGTTTTACGATTCGGCGGTTGAAGGATAATAGAATAGCCCCGTATTCTTTGTAGATTGTCGTCGTCGCACGTCGTGTCAAATTAGGTATTAAGGCAGAAACTACAAATATTAATGCCTACCTAGCAGGTAGCAAGGAAGCCGTACACTGTTCATGGAACAAGCTTCCCACGCTAGCTTAAATCCGCGATCCCGAGCTTACTAGAGCCACCCCTTTAGGTGATCTTTACTTCACGTCGTTCTCAAAGTCCGTACTGAGCTTCACGAATTACAAACATTGCATTCTCATTTGATAAAATTACATCTGCCAAATTTAAGATTCCTCAAGTCGATGGAGAGATATCTGCGACAAACTCAAATATTATACTGTCGGTGATTGTGGCGCATTATCGATTTACCCCGTGGTGCCGGCTTGGGAAACAAACGATCTCAGTGGTCGACGCATTTCTTACGAGATTGAACTGGGAGGGGTTTCGTGTACGATCGAAGGTACAGCGACAAAGTCACCATACACACAAAGGGATTGAGGCTCGCACATCATGAGCTCAGGCGGGGGAGATGCGAAGCTCTTTGCAAGGGTATGTCACTTGGATCAATTATCATACAATTTCACAGTTTATTATATATCATTTGCGCCTCAACTTCCTTTCATGTGCTCGCCCGATCTGTTGCATATTGGTAGCACCTAGGATGCTTGGGGTCTTATAGTCTGCAAGATTTCAATCATCTCGGAGTTCACAATGAAGGCGCACCCTGCTATTATGTTTCTACCTTCCTATATACCACCAACCGGATATGGATCAGTTGGCTCACTTTATAATCGTTCTCCACAGGGCAAAGTCGCAGAACTAAGATTGGAATTGAATAGTGGTGGAAAGAAAGACAAGAATCATGCCGCGAAGAAGATCGCCTTGAAGAAGATTGTAGCCAATATGACTATGAGCAACAATGATATGGTCGCTCTGTTTCCAGATATTGTTGGGTGTATGCAAATACCCAGCTTGGAGATCAAGAAGATGTGGGTTGATTAATTACACGGAAAGTCGCGCGAACGAACAACTGACGCAAAAGTAGGTGCTTCCTGTTTCTGGTCAATTATGCTCGTATGAAACCAGATGTCGCTATCAAGGCTTTACCTACTTTGCAAGAGGCAAGTTCCAAATTCCGCCCTTCCCTGCTGAGACTAACCATTGCGGACTAGGATATTAATGACTCTAATCCTCTTGTCAGAGCTCTTGCATTGCGCACAATGTCATACATTCATGTTCGAGATTTTGTCGAAGCTACAGTACCACCTACAAAGCAACTCCTTCGAGACGCAGACCCGTATGTTCGCAAGACGGCAGCTTTCTGTGTCGCAAAACTATACGATCACGATAGGCATTTGGTTGAAGGCTCAGATCTAATCGACAGATTGAATTCGATGTTGAGGGATGATAACCCAACGGTTGTGGCTAGTGCATTGGCCAGCTTGATGGATATCTGGGAGAGGAGTGATGCTATTAAGTTAACTATTGACTACGGTAATGCCTCTAAGATGGTTCAAATTCTCCCAGACTGTTCCGAGTAAGCATCCTACTCCCCAATTTTCCAATGAGCAATCTAACATTACCAGGTGGGGCCAAACATATATCTTGGAAGCGTTGATGTCGTATGTTCCACAAGAGTCCTCCGAGGCTTTATTGCTAGCGGAGCGCATTTCTCCTCGTTTATCGCATTCAAATTCTGCCGTCGTTCTTACATGCATAAGAGTAGTTTTGTACCTCATGAACTACATTAATGATCAAAAGCAAATATCGGCATTATGCCGGAAGCTTTCGCCCCCTTTAGTCACTCTATTGGCGAAGGGTCCAGAGGTTCAATATCTCGCATTACGGAATGCCCTGTTAATATTACAAAGAAGACCTGAAGTTCTACGCAACGATATTCGAGTATTCTTCTGCAAATATAATGACCCAATTTATGTCAAAGTTACCAAGCTGGAGTTGATCTTCATGTTGGCGAACGAAAAGAATATCCAAGAGGTGCTTACCGAATTGAGAGAATACGCCACAGAGATTGATGTTCACTTCGTCCGCAAATCAGTCCGAGCAATCGGAAAGCTTGCTATCAAAATCGAGCCTGCGGCTAGACAGTGTATTAATACATTGCTGGAGCTGGTGGCCACAAAGGTCACATACATTGTACAAGAAGCAACAGTGGTAATTCGAAACATTTTCAGAAAGTACCCTAATCAGTACGAGTCCATAATTGGTACATTGTGCGAGAATTTGGATTCGCTAGACGAACCCGAAGCTAAGGCTGCCATGATTTGGGTTATTGGACAATATGCCTCTCGGATAGAAAACTCTGATGTATTACTTGAAGATTTTCTCTATTCATTCGCGGATGAGCCAGTGGAAGTTCAACTTGCTCTTCTCACGGCGACCGTTAAATTGTTCATTCAAAGGCCAACAAAAGGGCAAGAACTTGTTCCTAAAGTGTTGAAATGGGCCACAGAAGACACAGATAACCCAGATTTACGGGACAGAGGCTACATGTACTGGCGTCTGCTATCTTCAGATATGGCCACAGCCAAAGCTATTGTTATGGGTGAGAAGCCTCCGATCACAGCTGAATCGGAGAAACTCGACCCTGCCACTCTTGAGGAAATGTGCCTTAACGTTGGAACTCTTGCTACTGTTTACCTTAAACCTGTCCAGCAGGTATTTCGTTCCGCTCGCCCACGTCGCCTCACAGACTCGCCAGCTCTACAAAAGCAGCATCTTCCAAATGGGGATTTGGATGCTCAGAAATCACTTTCTGCATTTGGAAACTCTCAACCTATGATGAAACCCGGTGGACAAGGTGACCTTGCTGCAGCAGTCGATGCAGCAGATGCATTCTTTGCCGGTGTTGGCCAGCAAATGGCAAGCATGAACTTGAATGGACAGGATGAAGGATTTGGCGGTAGTCCTACCGTTGGTAGAGGCGAGATGCAATATGTGGTTAATCAGAACGCACCCGAGCAAGTTTATCAACCTGCAGTAGGACAGGGTTCCAACGGTGATTTGCTTATGTTTAATTGAAAGTTTTTAGCGACTGATTTCTGCTACGGTATTCGGAGAAGGGTTTTATGGCTAAACATATTTGTACTCGATATGATATACTAAATAAATGGGAATCTTCTTTTTTCTTCAATTACTGTTCTTAAAATTTAGGATAAAATAATTACGATTAATTGACGAGGCAGTATGCTTTAGGTCCGTATCAATATTTAGATGGCACTGATTATGCGCGATAGTGAAAATTGAAGAAATACGATCAAGGTATTCATTACTCCACACTAGCAAAGCAGATGCAAGCTTCTAATATTGAAGAACTTTTGATTTTGGAAGAATAACTACATTCCACGGTGCCACGATTGATTCCCAATCGTCCTATTTTCCCGAAATTTCACACGAATTGGCTGACAATTATTCAGCTCTAGACTAATTGGTCATAATCATCGGGAAAGTTGAATGGAAATATCAGGATACCTGTGCAGTCATTACCCCGCGGAACCACAAACTCTGCGATATGCAACAAGAGACTTCTTGACTGGGGTGATTTGTAACTTGTGTAACTGTTATCCTTGGTCAACCGTTGTCCCTAACCGAGCTGGTCCCCTTCATCCTCTCACAGAAGGTCTCAGTGCCACCAACATCCGCCACATCATCCTTCCAAGTTTTTTAAATGCGTGGCTTTCGCGTTGATCGCAGTACTTTTCGTCATCAGAGGTGACTCTAACACATAGAGATTCTATCACTTTTCGATCCGCTAATTCATCTGTATTAATTTCCCATTCGGGATCCGATTTCAGTAACCTGGTCAGCAACCGTGTTCATGATGTATCCACTCCTCTACTTCCTTTCAGCACTCATCCCATGCTCGATTACTATTTCAATTGTAGTCGCGCCACGTGCGAATTGCGATTCTCCTGCATACTGTACAATCACATGTTTGCAACAAGCAATGTAAATTTCCTGTTGTCGATTCTTCCGACCGTCTCTCTGCCTACTAATACGATATTGTTTCTTCCAATCGCGACTTATGGGCGTATGGCACAGTCTCCAGAGCCGTTGAAAATGTTCGATGACGAAGGCCATGTCGTTCCACTTACCAATTCTAGTATATCTATATCGATGATTCGGCTTATCTTGCGCTTGTTCTCGATTCTTTGCCTCTTAGTAAGGGCTTCGAGGTTCCAAGCTATGTATTTTCTGATATTATATCTCAAGATTAACGGGCTGGAAATTGTAGAATCTCAAGTAGCGATTTCAATGACGATGATAAATGCCCCAACACCCTGTTTTAATATTTACAGCCCTGGTCGTTCGTTCAACTGGTCTCTCTGCGCTCGCTTCAAAATAAAGAAACGCTATGATAGACATCCAATAAGTCCTGCAAGGGCTTGGACAGAGGACGGGGAGGAGTGGAATTAATTTGGTCTCCAAACTGCAAATTTCAAACGCGCGACCCTGGGTTGTGATGCAGCTTTCCGGCACGGAAACTCGGAATGGAACTGTGCATTTGAATGATACCTGGACATAGAGGATATGCAGTTTTCAACTTGATCAAAAGTAACAGCATTTTCTTTGCCGTGGAGCGTGTGCGTATATTCCCAAAGAAGTAAGCAGCTGGTCGACCCTCGATACAAACACACATTCCTCCGAAAGTAACTTCCCGTAGCAAACAGAAGTAACCATGAAATAGGATTCTTGAAAGCTGCAAATATTTACCATTTGCGGGAGACTACGTTGTAAAACTGACTTAGATGCTGGTAACGGAAGCATACACAACCACACACCCGGAGAATTCGAGGAAAGGCTGTGGATCGGAAATACTTGTGATAACATCAGGAAACGGCCTGAGCCATCCAGAAAGCCATAGTACCGTCTCACGCCCTAGAAACCCCTATATCTCTACATATATCTAATCTCAAGTCCTCGACTTTAGTTATTTCAAGCGCAGCGTGTATTGTTCCTCGTCCACTCTCGACCAACTTACATGCTGATACTAGTGCCTCTCAAAACAACCAAAAAATCAATGAATATCGAAAATGACCAGTTTCGTCTCAACAATTAAAGGTGGCTGCAAAGTACTTTTCACCCCCTTAACTTCGTCCCTTTTCAGCTTCAAAAATTGGTTTCATCGTGAAGTCAGGCCAACGCTCGAAGGTATCATTTCCGCAATCAACCGTTTATACCGTATTCATGTGCGTCCCTTAACATCACGCTATGTTCAATTCATCTACGAGCACCGACTTCCAATAGCCCTTGGACTTCTGAGCATTATCGTGATTATCTGGCCTGACATCGTTACCGCACCATTGCTTGCTCTCTTAGGTTTTATGATTTTAGGTCCTGTTGCTGGTAATTAACTTCAAAATCTTTAACCCTTCCATCATTTATCTCCTGTTGATGAGCTTTTGTAAGCTGTTCCTTCCTCCGAGATAGTCGACTAATGCAGGTCTACAATAGGATCTATAGCCTCACTTGCTCAGGCGATCCTCGGAAAAATCGCTGCTGGTAGTGTATTTGCGGTATTGCAAAGTGCTGGTATGGCTGGCTTTGGGTTGGTATTGATTAATGGTATTGTTGTTGGGATTGCTGCTTCGGTCTTGGTTATGGTTATCATTCACTTGATTGCGGAGTGGCGAGTCTAGAAAGAGAAGATGACGCGAATAGGAGCGTTGATATGGTAGCCAAGTCGGTTGAATGGCTATAAGCTGTCATGAAATGGTCGAGATGAATAATTTTAATGAGCTTTGAGGCTTGCGTAGATGAGAAAGGAGTAGTAATTTACATTTTGGATTGTTACCTCAGATTCAGGCAAGTGATTACTCAGATATGATTGAGTCATTTGAAACAACGGAAATGAACGACATCTTTGGGGTATGCTAGTCCCACAAACCTAGCCAGGTCTTTCATGACTAGTTAGCAATGCCTGATCCGTAGATTTTCACAAATATAAGAAGATTGCTCTTAGATTTGCACATTAAGAAAGATCCATGACCAATTCGTAACCGGGTGCCAAGATTCGTGTACACAGGTACTGCCAGAAATGGAAGTTAAGTGGCTCCTATATTTATAGACGATTCACACATCTCTTCGAATCTTGTAAAGCACGAGAAATTAGAGCTGAAGTGCAAACCATGGCTTTGAAATATATTAACAAATGTCGAAAAGAAAGTATCCTAAACTATGTAGCTCTAACATCGAATTTTGCCGAGAAACAGGGTATTTGGGGCGAAGAAGCTAACAAACAACGCCTGCATCAAAGAAACCCAAGGAAATCAATATGTCAGACTCATAAACCGACCTTCCCATTCGCTCCTCCCTCCATTTCGAATGCCTTCTTCATAAATCCACTTTCCAACCCCTCCTCGAGTTATCTGATATCCAATCTCCAACTTATCCTCCTCTTCCTCCACCTTCTCCACCGCATTATTCTCTCGCTCATCTTCACTCTTTCTATACCCAGCCCCAGGGAACTCCCATCCAATCTTGACCACTGTCCTCTTCGCTTCCCCATTAATCAACAAACTCGGCCTAACCACCATCCACCTCTTTCCTTCTCCTTCTCCCGCCCACCTCACAATTTCCTCCTCCATTCGTATCTTATCCTCAAACGGGGTTTTTCCAAGGCTGTACAACGGTCTCATCTTACAAGGGATATCTCTTCCCTTCTTACTGATTCCTGTCGTGCTCACCACTATCACTTTCGTCTTCACATTCTTTGGTCCATATTCTACTTCTAGAGAATCCAATGTGCTCAAGATACTTTTGACGCCATCCTGACAAAGAGTTGGATCAGACCATTTCATTGAGAAAGTGGAGGAACGGATGAGAGTCATGCCTAGAGAAGAGACGACGATATCGACGGGGAGATTGGTGGCTGGATCAATAAGTGCGGTTTTCAAGGCGGTAGCATCGCGAATGTCGCCTTGAACGATGTGAAGGTTAGGATAGATTGTTTTATTGGAGAATTGAGAGAGTTTTGACGGGGTACGACACAAAACATTGAGATGAGTGGTAGATGAGGAAGAGAGGATTTCATTGAGTATTGCAAGCCCCGTTCCACCCGTCGCACCAAAAAGGGCGATCGAGGGGTTAACTTGGGCTGTAGTGGTAGACATGTTTGATATAAGAATCTTATTTGGGTTTTATGAAATGAAGGCTGGATGATGTGAAGAAACAAGTTTGTAATTTTTGTACTTGAATTGTGAAATGAAGTGATGATATCGAAATTGAATCAAAGGGACATACCTCGATTTATACTTAATTAATTTGACATCGTGTACAGACTTATAATTAGATATATCGCTGATCAGGCCAAATTCTAGGACGACATCTTGAGGCACATTGTTACGCACGTACACGAAATGTACTTTACGCGCGCAGAGGAAGCGAATCCTTTACGTCAAAGAAGGACTTTATTTAAAACCCCCTAAGAGTGGGTCAGAGAGGCAAGACTGAGTGGTGGAATTGCCGTGGCTGTGCGCAACATTCCCCCGACTCCGTACGGAGCTAGCTGCGTGAGCTGAAATTGCCCCGACCACGTGACAGCTCGGAGAGAACATAAGTCTGAGCTTGTCTTTTCAAATGATTGAATCGCGATGGTCTAGGTTCATTTCAATAACCATACAGACAAGGACGATTGAGTTTTGCTGTAGGGATGAGATTTCGGATGTATTCCACATTTCAAATTGTTCAAATTTCAGTGCTTAAAAATCTGTCGGGTACACATGTACTCACAGTTCAAGAGTTCTTTTCTGATCCCTGAAGTGAACATGATATTCTACGATAGAAATAGTGATCACTCACATTTCCCGACCGTAAAAACAGCTGAAAGGATACTAAAATCCTCATTTTCCGAATTTCCTTTTCGAAACGTCTTTTAACCCAGCCGGTGGCCTCCTCAACCGCAATTCCCTCCTGCTTCAACGGACACTGCACCTGGCCATTCCACAATCAAATACCCCGTTCTCAACGGCCAAGTATACTACATTACCAACCTTCGTATCAAGAAACATATAGAATTATGTTAAATTGGTCTTGTATTCTGGTTCCTTGGGATGAAAACTTTTTTCATAAGAAAATCTACATGAGTGTATATATACTGCAGTTTGCTTAGTGTAGTATAGGAGAAATGACATAATTCGCTTGGAAAGGAAAGACTAATGTTCTGGAGAGAATAATCAAATTTGTATTTCGAGGAAATAAAATCTTGCACAGGGTAGCTGAGGAAGGCAGCGTGAATGAGGTTTGATTGCATCAATACTGTGGGCGTCATTGCTGATATGGAAGGTGGCATCATATGAGTGTTGTGAATAGAGAGATGAAATATCAGCCCTGGAGTCGAGCAGGCATATCCTCTTCGTATCGATAGAATCTGGAGTTGTCTACACAGACACGCACAGCCTGTAAGTATTTCGAGCTTCCAATCTTCTGAAAATTCAGTAGAGTAGGTGCCGGGATGGTAAAGGGAGAATCAATCGCCGGTCAATGCAAGCCAAACACTCAGCAGTTGTCCTGATCCCGTGTGATATCACAAATTGATGATTTTTGAACGAATTCAATCTTTGGACTGCCAATTTACTCATCATGCCAGTATCTCCGGCCACAATTACTACCACCATGATGCTGATGTGAGAGTCTGTCACCGATCAGTATTGGAATCAAGAGTCCTACGAGGTTCGGATGCAGGAAACATAACAAGAGAATGACTCAAATGCTGAGATTCAGAGGGGTTGACTTTGAATTTGATGACTGCACAGAACTAACTGCGTACGATATCGTGCAAATGCATCGACGCTCCAGCCATAACCATGAGGGCCGATCCGGAATACTGGACCTGATCGATAGCCTGACTGCTCAGTGATGGAAACGGGTAGCAATTTGCGTTTCTCAGCTAACCTTGGAATACCTCAATGATGAAGTTCTATCACCTGATATGTGATCGCTTGATCCAATCATTCTTGGTTCATGTGACCAACACACGCAATCTTGCCATTTTGTTGCATATCTTTAAATTGTGTTGGTTTTTTGGTGTTGTTCGTTTGCTTACACGTCCGAGTTTTATCCGAAATGAAGCTAAACAGCCCACTTCTCGTCACTCATACTCGTAGTTTCCTGGTCTGACCGTCTGATACTCAAACCTTTACAAGTTCATATCTTGACATACAAGGAAACACCCCGCTCTTACTATAATCTCGACAGCAACCCCCTCATTTGCACTCCTGTCAGATACGCATATATCGATTCATCCATATCTTCATCATGGTAACATAACCTTCCTACTCCTGAAAGCGCGCAATTAACCAATTCGATCAATCTAGTCTTCAGAATCGCGCCTTTATACATTCAGCACCGAAACGAAGGCACATCTACGTAAATTTAGACTCGGGACTTCGCGCGCAAGCGATCCTCAAGCTGTTATATGTTTGTCTCCCTCTCCCTCTCCTTCCAAGATATTTGAACGTTCCTCCAACCAAATCACCCCACAATGATTACACACCAGTTGCACCACCACCTTCATATAACCCTCGGGTTATTGCTGAGAAACAACTTTGATATTATTTAGATGAGTATGGGATATACAAATCATCAAACTGCTAGATTGTTATATGAAATGGAATGTCTGCTGATTCCCTCTTATCCCTTAGATCTGATTGATAAAAGCAATCTCGAAATAAAACAAGATGAAGATGGAGTTGTATATAAAGATCTCGAATCTATAGGCGACGACCTGCCAGATCATTCGCCTCGTTTTATCCTCCTAAGCTATCCTTGCACACTGGTATATTATCCATTTGCTTCTTTTATACTCATCAAAAGCTTACCTACCCTAGCCCTCCGGCCGTCTCTCCGTCCCATATGTCCTAATCTTCTACCTCCCACCTACAGTCAATGCCGAACAGCGAATGTTGTATGCTGGGGCCAAGGAGCTGATGAGGAATACTGCGGAAGTTTCAAAAGTGTTGGAAATTGAGAGTGTGGAAGATTTAGAAGAGATACCTGGTAAATTAAAGGGCGATGAGAGATAAACGATGAATTTTGGATAGGAATGAAGCGAATGATGATGGATAGTGATGAATCTTGGATGAATAACGACTCCTGGAGCGATTCGGAGACTACATGATTCAGTAGTTCGAGCTTTCTCAGTGGAGCCTCGACATTGGATACTTCCATTGTCCAACCTTGTATTTACTAGGTTAAGGACCTTTTGTAAGTGCTTTGGGTCTGGAATTCCCCAAGGCATCGAAAATATGATGTGGTTCGGGTGAAACATATAGGGCATAATATACCATAATTTCCGCTTGGGAGAGTTAAAGAGATCTCAAGATCCAACTATAAATGTAATATTTACGCAATGAATAACACATATCATCACTCCTAGTTATTGACATCACACAATTTTTCTTTTTCTTTTGGGCCAATTTTGACCATCGATACAAATCACTCTTTTCACCAAGACCACTCTGTATCAAATGACTCAACGGAGGGACTAATGTTTTCCGCACTGAACCATTCGGGCAAAAGTTTCTTCCTCACACCCTGTCAAGTTCCTTGATAAGGACTACCAGGTAGAGTTGGTCAATTTATATAACTCCAGGGGTAATTTTATACCTGGTGATTCCATATTATAACGCTTCTTGAGCCAGACTCCTCTCAGTGAGCCTTTTAAACCCTACCCAGCAATTCACCGCGATAGTCTTCACTTAAATTGTGGACGCAATGGGTTGTAGAAGAGTATTTATAATTGCCCTAAAAGCCACGATGCGCATACAAGATGGAAATGGGCACGCTGCAAGCAGCAAGATATAGTTTGTCATGTCATAATTCATTCATCTCGTAGGGAGCTATTTATTGACGTATAATCATCCAACAATTCAAAGACCGTATCCAAGCAATTCATTCCCTTCGTACCTTCCACTCCACCCATCGTTTTCCTCCAAATCTGTCTTCAATCAATATTCCTCGCAGTTCCCTTCTCCAACCCTGCATCCACATCCTCAGTTGATTCGTTCTCCACACCTCCATTTCCCCTCATCTTCTTCATGCTCTTCTCAATTGTATCATGACCTGCTGCTGCAGCCAAATCACTGTCTTGTTGAACATCAAAGCTCCTTCTTAGATACTCCGGTCCCACAAATGTCAAAATGATCACATAGACATACACACAACCCATGAAAATACATATGACCTTTCCGTATTCAAAACGAGCTGTTTTGCCTTTAGGTGGAAGAGGGAATTTTTCTCCCAATTGAGCCTCGATAGTCGAACTAGCGGAGGAAACGAGATTTCCGAGTTGGTATGCGGTACCGACAACGAAGGTTCGGAAAGAGCCAGGAGAAAGTTCCATGAGATGGATGGGAATAACACCCCAGGCTCCTTGAACACAGAATTGCTCGAAGAAGGCTGCGGCAATGACGGCGCTGGAAGAGGTGTATGTGTAGGGGTAGAGAAGAGCACCGCCGAGGATGGATATGACAATTATGGAGAAGCGACGACCGAAGATTTGGGAACAGTAACCAACCAAAGTACCACCGGTCATGGCACCAAGATTAGCGACGACTTGGATGACGGTAACAGCATTTGCGGAGAAGTTGTATTGATTTTTAAGCATGGTTGGGTAGAGATCTTGGGAACCATGAGACTGGATTTTGGGTTAGTATGAATACTGTGAAGTATCTTGCGATCAGTGGTGAGGGGAAAGCTTACCATGAAGTTAAAACCAGCCATGAGAAGTACCAAGTAGATCAGTAAGAGCCAATGCTCCCTCAATGCTACCTTTCCTTCAGCAATGAAGGTAGCTCCGATATTACCTCGCTCATTTCGAACAAGAACACGCTCCTTGTACGCATCTGTTTCTGGGAGGCAGAGACGGAAGATGATGATGAGAACAGGTGGGCCTGCACCGAACCAGAACAGAGGTCTCCATCCATGACTAGTGGTATTTACCAATCCTCTCGCAAAAGCTGTTGCGAGAAGATATCCAAAAGCATATCCTTGTTGAAGTATACCAGACATCAAACCACGAGCTTCTTCGGGACAATCTTCAAGCGCGGTAGCGGCAGCATTTCCGTACAATCCACCCATTGCAATGCCGAACAGAGCTCTGCACGCAAGGAATTGCTTGTAGGTTTGACAGAAACCGGTACCAAGTTCGAGGATGATGAATAGGATGTTGTTGATAATGAAGGGCCATTTTCTACCATATCTATCTGCTGCGAGTCCGAAGACAATAGAACCAACAGATCTCAACATGAGAACCAATGTAATACCCCATGTGATGTCTGTAGTAGTCTTATCAAACTCCTCTGCGAGGTCCGAAACAGTAAGACTGACTGTAAAGAAATCGAACGCATCCCAAGTCTAGGCAGAATAGTTAGTGGGAGAAAGCTAATGGTGTCAACGATCCAGAACATACCCAAGCAACAAACGCCACAAGGAAGAATAGCCATTGTTTTCCATTCAACATAGCCAGAAGTTTGAATGGGTTAGGAGCCTTGTGCATAGGAGGCTTGAGTGTGGAAACTCGGGTCCTACAATACTCCCCAACGGACATCTTCTGGGGAGATTGAGATTCGTTCGTATGGGCATCATAGCCTGCAGCACCGTATTGGTCTGCCATGTTGAGCTTTGATATCTGCGAAAGAGTTATTAGCTTTTGATGTAAAATTGTCTGCTGTGATAAGCAGGATTGAATATATGTTGGTACCTTTCGATTCCCTTATTATTCTGATTCGAGTCTTATGTTAAGATATCCAAGCAATTAAGAGATCGATGTCTATACCAATTGGAAAGTAGAGTTACAATAGTCTGTATTCACTCCAACAGAGGAGTGATAGCCCGTGTACACACGAAGCTCGGCTTGAAATAAATGAAGAATGAGGATGATATGATGAGAATATTTCAGAAATGAGAGGCGGAAAGCTACCTACTTATCTGTCTCTCATTCGAACGCGCATGTAGCACAAGGAAACGTTCCAGCGATAGTTAGACACCAACTTTTTTTACGATCTTTCATCTGCTAACCATGGATACATGCATGCTTCCATCATCTCCTCTAGGACTCTGATTCATCAGCTGATGATTTAGCGTTCGAAAAATGTTTGATTTGTTCTTAGCGCAGCCATCATCAACAGTAAATCCTAGCGCTCCCCGCATGGAGAATGGGGGGGAAATGGAACGTAATCCAGTGAATAAGCTTGTTTGATCCTGGTTTAGTTGCTATTCCTCGGCTGAATGCAGGCTTGCCATATGCTAGTTGGGTGACAATATCTTCTTTTCTTCTGACTAGGGTTTTTTGACATATGGCATGGGCTCCCATGATGATTAGTATCATAGCATTGCATGGCGAGCATGGTCGAAACGACGACGATGTGAACACAGACCAAGTCTCCCACTCTGCTATACCACATCTTGGAGTTACTGACTAATAGAAACATGTCTAGACTTTATCTCTAATGACCAAGTCTATAAATTGGTATCGTTTTCTTTGCCGATCACAGTGACATATTATTTGTGCAAGTGTGGGGATCCAACTGCTCTGGCTTGGAGCTTACTTTACTCCGTAGGAGACTAAGAAGAATAGGTCGCAAATTTTCCAAGAGCTACCTCAAGCCATAATGTCCGATCCCGAATGGAACGATACACCCGCACTCATTCTGTACTTACTAGGTAGGTACCGTACACAAGGCAAGTCTACCGAGAACACCTAATACGGAATCAAAACAAAACAACCCCCGGAATTACAAATAGGTTGCAGATTCTCAATTCTTCTCCAGTAGATAAGATTGGGATGCCGACGGTCTAATGGAATGGCGGAGTGCATATCCTTTACCAAACGTATTTCGACCTCGCTGTCGTATTGTACTGGGTGATATTTTGAATCCGGTGACACCCTTGCCACTGATGGCGTCCGTACTCAACACCCAGTAAGCATTGGCGCTGCGGTGTGAGCGAAAGGGAGCTGAATAGTTTCGGTACTTCATGATTCGATTCACCTTGGTATCTTGGAATCGTTTCAAGCTTTTATCACCAAGACGGAAGGCTTTGGCAGTGGTTTAGGAGGGGTTTTACTGCTCGAGAAACCAAGAACTCCTTAAAATATATTTGGGAAATTAAATAGGTCTTGGGACGACGTCGGAACACACCGCCTGCCAAAGTTTGATAGCTTCTTAATTTCCGAGTGTCAAAATGTGTCAAAATGTCATGTCAGTTTGTGACTAAAAATAAGATGGGTAGAGGTCGATCCTCTTGGGTATTGTTTGATATGTTTTTGCGTTCATTTTCGTTTTCTTCTCTGGCGTCTTGGTAAATTCTGGGCAAAAATCTGGGGTAGAGGGGTAGAGGACGATCTTTTAGGGGATTGTTTGACATATTTTTTGCGTTCTTATTCATTCTCTTCTGGCGTCTTGGTATTCGCTGGGCAAAAAGCTGGGGCAGAGGGGCTCGGGGTAAAGCTTTCGGTCAAGAATCTCGGCGTGGGTGGTGGAGACTTTGAGAGTCTGGGGATATTCTAGTGGTGTCTTGGGACCCGAGAGAGCCAACTTCATAATTCCAGCAATGTTTCTTCTTTCTTGGCTCAATATTCGAAGTTCAATGAATTCCTCGAAACTGCATTGAAATTTGATCACAAGCATCAAAGTTGGACAATTGTATCATAACAATAACACCACACATCTGGATATTGTAACGTGGTACTCGCGCCATTTAGGTTCTAGATACAAAAGTCAATTGTACGATGACATTTTGCACCAGCGTATGCGTGCGCAGATGTCATCCGATTTTCCCCTTCATTTCAAGCAACTTCAAGCGAATAGGGTTACCTTACAGATAAGATAGGACGAAACTAGGTAGTTTTCCCGTAGAGTCACGTGAGTGCTACAACATGATCTTGTGCTTGAATCAAATCTACAAATGCTAAATACTGAAGATTCATAATTACTCTCCCCGGTCTCTACTTGCTTTGTTGGGATATCAGTCTGGAGTTTTGATATTGGTGTTACCCAAATGAATTCCGGAAGTTTGGAGGTTGGAGATTGGAGATCACCCACTTAGGCACAAATACTGCACCGGAATGCAGTCTGGGTCTAGCTTATCATCAATTTTCTACAAGATACGAAATCTACTTCTTTTTGGGAAGGTACTTCTTCTATTGAATTTAAAGATTCTACTCGAGTAGCGTTTAAGGTTGCTTCCGGAATTGATGAGTAGATGTTACCGGAATCGTCCACATCTGGGACGACATTTCGGGAAGTTACTTACAATTGTATCAAATTTGAGTTTTTCGTACCTCAGAGATTATCGATTTGCGTTTGTACCACAGCTAACATCATATTTCTTGATCGAATTATATTTCTGCGCTCAATTTTAAGTGGTCTAGAACCAAAGACATATCTACCGAGGCGGCCTTTATCGATTGTTTCCAATCATTGACCCGGTAATGGAAAGCTCCATACCATCTGCGCAAATTACGATGAAGGCCGTTTCTTTAATTTCTCAACCATATCGAGGACGGGAAAACATTGCATCTACAGGACCGTATTCAAAGTTTGACTAAAGTCAAGGTTAGGCTCATGAATATGAATACGAATCGATGAAGATGACATGGAAATTCATCATACTTGACGGGCTCTACAATGCATTGTTGATCTTCAAATTCTCGATCTCTGAGTGATTGAGGCACTCGGTCAGCGAAGACTGCAGATGGGTGAATGTTCACTCCCAAAACAATCTAGAGCTACAGGCATAAGTTCAGAAGTCTGAGCTTTAAGACTGTTTCTTATGAACCGCCATACAGGCCTTGCCATCGATGAACCTTATCTTAGTATTGAAACTCCGTTCCAGCTGCTCAATTTTAGATCAATTGACAAGTCTCATTGATTTGCTTGAGACAATGAGCAGATAGTAATCTTTCTTGCGCCGTTTATTTCTTGAATTTGTATCGCGAGCCTACATACTTATTTATATATAAGACTTTGATTCAATTACGTTTGAACCCGCCGGTTTTTCCCATACACACTAACTCTAGCTTCTCCCATGATAGCTTCAGGAGCGCAACTTCATACACACAAACGTTCAGAGAAATTGGGAAACAATTTAACAGAATCTCGGTCAAGGTTTTAGGTACTGTATATTTCTATCAAAGTATCAATTAATTCAGACACAGCACAAACGCTATGTAAGGGAGCAAGCAACTGAAGCAACCAATCAAGTACACCTGGATGCTCAAAATGGTCTGTCCTAGTCACAAAACGCAATATTTTTTGCCTCTCGTTTGAAATGGGGACAATCAGAGCTAAACGTGTGAAGTAGGTGATGTAAATTAGATCTACCAAACATATGAAACCATCTGACTCGATAGAGCTACTCTCTCAACGTTAACTAGAGAATCATCGGCCCTGAGGCCTTAGGGCTACCTCGTTTGAACACTAACAAGTTCATGATGACTTTGGATGAGATGTGTTTTGTAACTGCGAACACTTAAGGTGAGATTAATGCGGAATAATATGTCGTTATCGTTGATGTAACGATTGGTACATAAGAAATTAAGTGACTGCTAGAATATAATAATGTAATTCTATGTAATAGTTATTAAACAACTCTACGGTAAGGTGCGCATGAGAAATCATCCATAAGAAACTCTCGACCTATACTCTTCTGTTTCGTACCTCGGGTTGAGTCTTTCCATGTCGCTGTTAAGCCTAGTACTTAAAGTAGTATACACCGTTTTCTACATAAAGCCCACTATATTGAAGCAAGTCATAATTTCTACCATGCGTTTCAAAATGTTCATCAAATGTTCTATCATCAGATTTTCAATGATGCTATATATCACTGAATAGATATTAAATTGCCGAAATTCAATATATTATCTCTCAAACAGGCGGTTACCGAAGCAGTTTTCACCGAAAGTTATTGAATCTCTCTAGGTTTTCAAAGGAATGTAATTGAAACTCTTGGGATCCATAGTGGGAATCTTCATCAGCATTTTGGTATGTTACTAGTCTTATATAATATAGCTTATACATATTGCAATGGATAATCCAATCACCAATATGTACTGATATAGTATAGAAAACTCCAATATAAGCTTGCCTAATACTAACTTATACTACACTCGTGACTGGCCGGACCGCTATTCCCGTTATGCAGATGCTTTTGAGGACTAAGCGTTTTTGAACTGCGGGTGTGGCCGTACTACAAGAGGCTTAGTATAGGAAATATTTCTGGGTGTCAATCTAACCGGTGCTCCATGAGATGTAGATTCACTCGGGTCTGAGTCTTTACTAGTTCCGCTTTGAGGCAATTGTACAGGAATCATATACCTTTGCTTCTCAGTAGCTCCAGAAACGTCAGAACCATATTTAGAGGATACTCGTGTGCTGGCACTGTAATCGGATCTGGCATCGCTCTTCGCTCTGCGATTCGCCAACACAGTATCATTTGATATAGTAGATATTTCAGAACCAATTGAACTTGGCGTCCGAGTTGAATGGGAAGCTGTGCTTGATGGTGGTGCGCGGGAACTAACACTACTGATAATAGACGGAGCCACTGAATTCCCAGAATCTTGTTTTCTGGTACTATAATTGGATTCGACTTCGCGCTTCTTTCCTTTTCCGCTGTCACTCTTGCGATCCGTCGATTTAGACATAGTGGATACACGAGAACGAGTTGGAAGTGGCGTCAAAGTTGAATCGGAAGCTACGCTTGATAGTGGTGCGCGGGGCCCGACACTACTAATACTATCAGACGGATCCAACGTATCCAATGAATCCGTCGATTTCCCTGCAATGCTGGACGTATACCTATCAATAGATTCGTCTCTTCTCCGACTATCTTCATTTCCTTCTCTTCTCCTATCTCTATCTCTTTTTCTTGTCCCATCTCCATTTTCTTCTCTTCTTTTGCGTCTTTCTCTTCTCGCTTTTCTGTCTTCTCTCTCTTTTTCATCTTCTCTCTCTTTTTCATCTTCTCTCTCTTTTTCCTTTCTTCTACTCCTCTCTTTCTCTTTCTCTTCTCTCTCCTTTTCCTTTCTTCTACTTCTTTCTTTCTCTTTCTCTTTCTCTTTCTCTTCTCTCTCCTTTTCCTTTCTTCTACTCTTCTCTTCCTCTTCTCTCTCTCTCTCCTTTCTTCTACTCCTCTCTTTCTCTTTCTCTTCTCTCTCCTTTTCCTTTCTTCTACTCTTCTCTTCCTCTTCTCTCTCTCTCTCCTTTCTTCTACTCCTCTCTTTCTCTTTCTCTTCTCTCTCTCTCTCCTTTCTTCTACTCCTCTCTTCCTCTTCTCTCTCTCTCTCCTTTCTTCTACTTCTCTCTTTCTCTTTCTCTTCTCTCTCCTTTTCCTTTCTTCTACTCCTTTCTTTCTCTTTCTCTTTCTCTTCTCTCTCCTTCTCCTTTCTTCTACGTCTTTCTTCCTCTTCTCTCTCTCTCTCTCTTTCCCCATCATCGCCTCTCTCATATCGTCCGGACGGTTGTCTAGACGCTTTCTCAGAGGAAGAAATGGTTCCATATTTATGTGGTTTTTTTGAAGACACCGTACGATCTGAAGTATCGCTTGGTTGAATCGATTCTTCATATTCAGACTGACCACTTCTGCTAGCCATACTGATAGTTACTTTGCGGCTCTGCCGTTACTTTTCCGCCCTTTTAAGTTGGGTTGAGAGGGAGTTCTTTCACTGTCTGTAGTTTGCGCTGACGATAAGTATCTTTTCTCGAGGCTAGCTCGCTGATGATGATGCTTTACAGCTCTGGTTGGATTCTTTATTCCGAAAGTTGAAAATGGAGATGTGATAAGTGTATATTTAAATCAAGTTAAGTGGATGATTTAAGAATAGAGTTGACATGGTATGATATGATGTGCTGAATATCGTACACAGATGGTCAGGAGATCAAAGGTATATATAGTTCATTCTATCTGGGATCAATGTCTGGAGCCCAACACAAACATTACTATCTGATCATTCTTCTAGAATGTATCTATGGAATTGACTGTGGTGTATGGGACTGAAGGTCCTACATTGGCCGGGTCTAAGATTTATTAATAGCATCAGGACAATCTTGCTTGAAAGTAACCGTGTAGGCGTGGCCTAATGTTGGGCCGGACTGGAGTCTGAGTCTCAAAGGATTGACTTAGGTTTTCGGTTATAATTCTATTAATTGAAATGTAGAAAGGGGCCGTTCTTAAGGTCGATGAGTTTTTTTTGATTAAGAGGCCACTCGATGTCGACGTTGGAAGTGAGATGCGGATGGCCCACAGTGTGAACGCAGAATTGCAGGCTCGAGAAATTTACAACGCAGCATTTTGATATCTGAATTGAGGGGGAGGTTGGTCTAAAAATCGAGTCAAAAATTGTGAAAGAGATAGGTAGCTTGATGAGAAGAACTGGTAATGTCAATTAAGTTCCATATGAATTTGAAAATTGATTTGATCGCAGAACTCCGAATGCAATGTACATAAATTATAATGTTGGAGCAAAATACTATTCTAATACATACATTAGTAACATAATAAATAGGCTTTCAAGAGATTCAAAAGGTACTTTATTATCCAATTATCTATCTCTTGGTGAATATTTCTCGAGCGTATACAACTTCAACTACTTCCCATCTTAACTTTCTCGTACTTACCGAGTTCTTGGGTGCAAGTTTAGAGCAAAGTTAATCGCTACGCAAATTGTTAATAGGGGTTCGGAAATCGTGTGGGATATGTTGAGAATGTGAGTGTAGTGTGTAGTGTGTAGTGTATAGTGTGTGCACAGAATGATAATATCTCAATCAACTCCATACTGTAATTTATCATGCGTTTGTCCCCGAAGACTAGCTCTCCATAGATAGATAGGCTTTTCTCTGTAGTATCTTGCACTGCACGCTACGGAAACAAAATACAGAGGTGGCATATATAAACACAAATACAAACACATAGGCATACACACACATACACATTGTGAATTTTCATCAAGTCAATCAATGAAGAGAGAGAAAAATCTCAAACCCCAGCAATTTATTTATATCCAATCTAATAACTCCCAAAATCCCACGACAAAAAGACAAGCAAACCTAAATAAAGCAGTGATTGGAGTAATGTAAGTTAGTATTATAGTGGCTGATATTGAAGCCTTGTATATTATATTAATATTTATAAATGATTGAAATACCCACTGGAATATGTATAGGGTGTATTGGATAATATTAGTAATATACTGAATCATTGGAATTCAATGAATTCCTAAGGATTTTTGGTTATATCCCTATGGTGGCAGAATCCGTGGTTGATGAAGTGATTCTTTTGTAATTGTCATAAATTCTATAATATCTTTATTATATATTGAATAAATTGTTTTTAAAGTATTAATATAATTAATCTAATTGTCATATATAATGAAAGTTTTTTATTTTAAAAGTACTTTATTGTTTTCAATAGAATTTATCACCCCTTTTTATATTCAAATTTAAATATTATTATTTTTTATTATATTTGAAATATATATTTATATACAAATCGGTTATCACATTTTGAACCATATATTTATATAAAAATTTGAAAGTATATAAATTAAGATCTTATATAAATTGTAAGATTATAAGTAAAAAATATATAAAAATAGTATTATAAGTTCTATAATTAGTTTATCCCTATTTCTCCTTATTCTTTTTTATTTTTAAGATTGTAATACTTTTATTATCAAGTTTCTAGATTATATATCTATTTGATTTTTTTCCTATATTTTAATATAATTACTTTTTTTTTGTTTGATATCTGGAATTGTTAGAGTATTTTTTTGAATTTTCTTATTTTTTTGAGTTGAACTTCTGTCTTAATTATTTCGATCAAATATTTTAGATAGAGAAAGCTCTAATGTATTATAGCTTTCTTTTATTGTATTACAATAATAAGAGTATATTATTCTTCAACTTTTTTTTGTTTTTTTCAAATACAAATTATTATATCCTTTTTGTATATATTTCTTTTTATTTTCAAGAGGCTCTTTATCAATATTATTTTATTTATTAATATTTTTTTGTTTATTAATATTAAATTATTTATTAATACTCTTTTGTTTATTAATATTATTTTGCCTTTCGATATTTGATGAATTCTTAGTTTTCAAATTGTTTTTTTTGAGATTATGGATGGGTTGGGGTTGTAATAACAAAGTTCTTGATAAAATTAGTATTGTTTTTATTGGGTTTGGTATTATACTTAATCTTTGAATATTTATATTGTTAGTATCAAAAAGAGGTAACAATTTTGTTTTAATAGAATATATAATATTTCTTTGAATATCTTAATATTATTAATCTTTGAAATTAGATATTAAATTTTTATTCTATTTAAATGTTTTTATAGAATATTAGATTAAATAAAATCTGATTTCTTTTAGTATAAAACTTATTTTTTGAAAAGCTTATAGAGTTTTGATTTTGATATCTTTTTTTCTTTAATATTATAAATCTCTTTTTATTACTTTATCTATTCTGTATAATAGTAATACAAATAGTATTTATAAACCATAAATTCTTAAAGTTATTTAAATTAGAAAACTTATTTAAAGTATTATTTCAAATATATTATTAAAGAGTAGGTGGTAATGCTTTTCAATTGTAGAAATTGTTTTATTCTTGTATATACTTTAATTGATTTTATATATAAATCTAAAAATGTATAAATATATTAAAATTATAGCTATCTTTAAAATATCAAACTAAATATTCCTTTATTATATCAAAAATTGTCTTGAAATTCATTATTATTTTTTTCTTGTATTTAGATATTATTATATTTGATATCAAAATAATAAATAATCTATTAATAATAATTATATAAATCAAAGAACTTTATTGTTCAAATTGATTTTTTCGAATTAAGATTTAAGATAAAATTCTATTATGTCTTATTGAGGCAATAAAAAATCATAGTATATTAAATATAACTTTATTTAATAATCTTTAAATAAATTAATAATATAAATAATATTAAATTATTATTTAAAGAAATATTTAATATTTTTAAATATACTTAGAATTATTATTATTCTATATCTATATTCTAACATCTATTCTAATTTCATTAATACTCTTTTAATAACACTTTTGCTTATATTTAGTATTCCTAATTTACAAAAATAAGCGAATAAAAATAAATAAAAACAAATAAAAACAAATAAAAATAAGCAAAAGCGAGTTTAAAAAAAATCAGTTTTTGTATCCTCAGAAATCTTCTTATATTGTAGCAAAACCAATATTATTAATTCCTATAGCTTTTTTTAATATTTGTTATAATAATTCAATATTCTTTTCTATAATAGTAGTTTGTTTTGTATATCATACTATATTCTATAAAACTATATATTTTAATATATATTTATACAAAAGGAATAAAGACCTACTATCAAAACGAATAGTTAATATTATTTCTACAATCTTTTGTAATATTTCGATTATTGAGAATTGAAATTAGAGATTTATTTTAATCATTTAAACTATTTATTATATAAACCTTATAAATATTATTTGGAATATAAGATTTACCCAAATATTAATATAAAACTTAATCTCTCTCAACAAAAGCTTTATATAAAGTTAATTTAATAATTCAATATCTAAATTTGATAAACGATTTCTATTTACTCAAATTATAAATTCTCTTTCCATTAAATAAAACCCTTTTTGACTTATATTTGAAAATGAGTATTTTAGATTTCTTAATATTCTTTTTAGCCTTAGGCTTTCTATTAATAATAAACTTTTTTGTTTTAATGTTTTTGATTGTTTTGTTACTATATTGGCCCCTTATATTATTTATATAATTTTCAAATTCAATAAAGGGGGAAAATAGAGTAAAGAAGTTTTGATAAAATAGAGCAAGAGAGTCTTAATAAGATGAAGTAGGAGATTGCTTTTAAAAATATTTTAAAAAATAAAAAAGAAAAAAATCCGGCTTATAAATCAAAGCATTCTAAAGTCCTTATAAAATTTCTTGATTTGTTATATTCCCTAATCACCTAGCAATCTTTATTCTTTTTAATTTAGTAAGTTCCTATAAATACTATTTTTATATTAATATTACAAAATCCTTTATATTATTAAAAAAGATTAAAACACTTTGTATATAATTTTAAACCTTTTAATAAATAAAAATGTTAATAGTACTACTATAATAAAGTTGGGAGTTATATATATTAAAAAAAATAATTATAATTATAATCTTTTTATTGTAATATTATTTCAAATCAGAAAAGGGAAGTGTTTATATAAAGAATTCCAAAATTCTATTTATAGAATGAATAAAGCAAATATAATTATATAATTTAGTATATTATCTATATCCCTTTGCTTTTTAATATTAATCAAAATTAATACCTACAACTAATTACTATTTTTCGAGTTTCTTTGCAGTGAAGATTTATTCTTTCTTTTAATTTAATTTATATTTCAAATATTAATTCAATTGAATCAAAATAATTAAAAGACATTTATATTTTCTATCTAAAATTATATCTTTTAAAAAATTAAAGATATTGTAATAATCAAAAAGCGTTGGTAATAAAACTTCTAGTAAATATTATAAAAATGTAAATAAATATTTATCCAATTTTTATTTTAT